ACTTGTTGCAAAGTGTCACTTAAAATAGTAGCTTTACCACAGAGATTTTGCTGATGCAAGATATAATGAAAAGAAATGAGAGCATCTGGATCTGTTAATACATTTTTTTAATCTGTGCAATAAACCCTTCATGTTTTCCTGTCATTAAAGATGCACCATCTGTACATACACTCACTGAATATACCAAATTCAGTCCAACTTCACATTTATCTTGAAAATTGTTGAAGATATCTACACTCATGTTCTGTTTGCAACAGTGCCAAAAGTAACTCTTTGTAGCAAAGAAAATCTCTTATGACCTGAATGAAGTATAAAACCTGCATCAAGTCAGTACTATCAGTTGATTCCTCCAAAGTGATTGAATAACATATATGTTTTCCTTTTGAAGTACTGCATGAATTTGTTTAATTAAGTTGAATGCTAATTCATGCTGCTGATCAGTTATGGTTCACCTTGAAAGAGGAAGTTATTTGTACTTTGAAATGCTATCAGGGATCTACATAGCAAAACTGAGTATAATCCTTCAGGGAAAAAAATGGTCATTCAGTGAAATAGAGGACTTTCAAGCATTCTTGTTGAAAATACCAGAACTGAATAGAAAATTGGACTTTCAAATACAAGACTCAAGTGGAAAATGAAGAGGAAAACAGGAAAGAGAAATCATAAGAGACTTATTAAGGTTGAACTGTTTACATTCCTGTATGGAAAGATGATATTTATAACTCATGAGACCTTTGTCAGTATTAGGGTAGTTGGAGGAAAAAAAGTATATGTATAGATATAGATACAGATATAGATAGATAGATACAGTGCACAGGGTAAGTTGAAGATGAAGGGGTCATATCTGGAGAATAAAATTAAGGGCTGAGAGAGGATTATAATGGGAGAAGAAGAAAGGGAGAGGGAGAACGGAGTAAATTATCTCACAAAAAACACAGAAAAGGCTCTTACAGTGGAGGGGAAACAGGGGAAGTGACATGGAATGAGTGAATCTTATTCTCATAGGATTTGGCTTAAGGAGGGAATAATATACACACTCAATTGGGTATGGAAATCTGTCTTACCCTACAGGAAAATAGGGGGGAGAAGGGGACAAGAGAGCAGGGGAATGATAGATAGGAGGACAGATTGGGAAGAGGGGTAATCAGAAGCAAACAATTCTGAGGAGGGACAGAGTCAAAAGAGAGAATAGAATAAATGGGGGGGGCGGAATAAGATTAAGGGAAATAGAGTTAGTTTTTCACAACATGACTACTATGGGAGTGTTTTGCATAACTGCATATGTATAACCTATATTCAGTTGCTTGCCTTTTCAATGAGGGTGAGTGGGGAGGTAGGAAGGAAGAAAATTTGGAATCCAAAGTTTTAAAAACACATGTTTAAAAACAATATTTTCACATACAACTGGGAAATAAGAAATACAGGAAATGGGGTACAGAAATCTATCCTGCCCTACAGGAAATTAGAAGGAGAAGGGGAATAAGAGAAAGGGGGAGAGCTAGAAGGGAAGGCAGACTAGGGGAAGAGATATTCAGAATACATGCCATCTTGGGGTGGGGGGAGGGGCAAGATGGGGTGAAAATTTGGAACTCAAAATCTTGTGGAAGTAGATGTTGAAAACTAAAAATAATAAATTTCAAAAAAAAAAAAAAGAAAACAACAAAACAAAAAAAGAAATGTTATCAGGGTCTAAGCATCCTACAACTTCAACAATGCATTCTTTCACCATTTCTACATCACTGAATGGCTTCCCTTTTTTCTGAGTATATAAGCTACTTTCTAAGTTGCTTCAGTGGCATTATTTTCAGGTCTTATTGCTGCTTGAAAGAACTGTCTTTGCTTTTGCTTTTCATCTTTTAATTTCTGCAATACAATCTTTTGAGCCTCTCCCTCTAATTTAAAATATTTGTGGTCCTTATAGTGCTGATGAGCACTGAATTTCTTTAATGTTGATATTGTAGTATCACAGAGCAAGCAAATCATCTTATCTTTAGCAGAAACAAGATAATACTGCAATTCTTAATTCTCATTAAAAAATCTGTTGTCTTCCTTCAGCTTTCTCTTCGTCTTCTTTGATATAATGGGCTGCTAAGCAGACAGAATTAAAAAATACTGTCAAGCTGTGCAACTATTAAAAAATTCCACTTCAAACAGAAACAGAGTACACCATTGTCAAAAGCTGGTAACAGAGTGGTGTTCTCGACTCCCATAAACTCTCGCCAACCAGCCTTGTGCTGTTGTGGGGCCGGTCAGGTAGGAGAAGTTAGAACTAAATAATGAGTGTAGCAGCCATCAATTTAGCCCTCATGGTTTATTAATGTTCTAATTGTTCTGGTCAATCTGGAAGCATTATTTCGTTGAAACTCATTTTATTCTTTAGTATTTTAAATACATTCATTTTAAAAAATAAAATAAAAATATAAAAGACAAACAAAATATATTAATAAAAATAAAAGGATTGTTCTGTAAAATTTGGATTCAGTCAAAAGGCCGCACTTAAGGAACCAGGAGGCCATATGAGGCCTTAAGGCCACAGATTCCCCACCCCTGTCCTAGGAGGCTCCTTCAAACTCTGAGATTCTGTGATCAAGAAGCCATATACATACGGTTTTACATTACATATTTTAGAGGGATCTATAGATTTAGAATGATCTATATATGCATCAAGAATATCCTTGAAAAAGGAACAAATTATTTCCTATAGCTGACCACATCTACATAATTACAGAATTGATAAAAAGTTACAGAGAATATAAAAGTTCGTTGTTTGTTGAGCATTAAAAAAGCATTTGAGGGGCAGCTAGGTGGTGCAGTGGATAGAGTTCTGGCCTTGGAGTCAGGAGTATGTGAGTTCAAATCCAGTCTCAGACACATGTCACTTACTAGCTGTGTGACCCTGGGCAAGTCACTTAACCCCGACTGCCTCACCAAAAAGCAAAAAAAAAAAAAAAGCATTTGATATAGTAGAGAAACATTTTTTCCCACACAGTATCTCTGCTTAATGCGTTAAGATTATACAAGAATACTTGATATATGTCATCACAGAGAAAATGCCTTAACAGGTAAGGCATGAAATGTAATCTGGCTGAAGTTGTTTATAACTATTAAGTAGGACACGTTACAATGAGTCTACAAGAAAGAGAGAGTTCCTCTAGAATATCCACTGTAACACATCCAATAGTCATCTAAACTTTGCTTGAACAGCTTCAATGAGGGAGGAAACTGCCACCTCCAAGGAAGCTCATTCCACTTAGGATAATTTTAATTGTTAGAAAGTTGATCTTTAAACCAAGCCTATATGTGCCTTTTTGCAACTTCCATATTTCTGCTTCATCCTCTAGGTCCAAATAGATAAAATCTAATCCATCTTCAAAATGAAAGTTTTTTGAGTCTTTTAAAACATCTATCATATCCCTCCTGAGTGTTTTCTTCCCTAAGTTAAACATCCCCACTTTCTTCAAACCAACCTCGTATAACATGCTCAAGGCCCTTCAGCATTCTGGTAGATCTTCTCCGACCAATATCCAATTTATCAACATCCTTCTAAAATACAGTGCCCAGAACTGAACATAATATTCCAAATGTAGTTTGATCATGACAGAGTACAACACGACTATCACCTCCTTATTTCTGGAAGCTATATTGCTCTTAATACAGCCTAATACCACAATAGTTTTTCAGTTGTCACATCATATTGCTGAATCCTAGTGAGTTTGTAGTCTATTAAAAACTCTCACATCTTTTTCAGGTAAATTTCTGTCTAACCATGCTCCTCCATCTTGTGCTTGTGAAATCAACTTCTTAAACCTAAGTATATCACTATGCATTGATTCATATTTAATTTCACCGTGTTAATAATAGATGCAAAACTCATCATTACCTAATCATAACACAATATACAAAAGACAGCCAGAATCTCTAATATTTGTAACAATGATGATCATAATAGTAAGTTACATAGTGCTTAAAGGTTTACAACTATCCTGTGAAATAGGTAGTACAAATATTATTATATCCATTTTATAAATGATGAAACTGAGAGGTTAAGTATCTTGTCCATCATTACACAGTATCCAATGTGTAATTGAATCCTAGTCTCCTGACTCTACATCCACTCCTCTTAAAGCTCAGTCACTTCTAGGCAGATAGATAAAAAGTACTCTAAAACTGCTGCTCCATGGGAAGCTGAAGATGAAGTGGTATGTTGAATGCACAGGGTGGTCAATCAAAATGAAATAAGCCAAAACAGAACAAATTCCTGCACAAAATAACACAAAGGGGAGCTGGGTGGCACAATGGATAGACTAGAGTGCCAGGCTGGTGGTTAGGAAGACCTCAGTTCAAATCCAGCCTCAGATACTTACAAGCTGTATGACCCTGGGTAGGTCATTTAATCCTGTTTGCCTCAGTTTCCTCATCTATAAAATGAGCTAGAGAAGGAAATGGCAAACCACTCCACTATCTTTGCCAAGAATCAAACATGACTGAAATGACTGAACAATAACATAGCCAAGCTAAAAGTGATGGATGAGTGATTAACGAAACTAAAATACGGAGGAGACACTAAGCACTAATAGTAAAGGGCACTAATAATCCAGTTCAATGACAAAGTCTAAAGTGCTGACAGTTATGTTATAAAGTTATATTTCTACCCCTGAGAACAGTGCTATCTTCATGCATTAGCATCATTAGCAATTAATATATTTTATATAATCTATAAAACTGTGGCTATGGAGTAGTGCTAAATCTGAATACTAAGAGTATACTTAAACATCCATTTATATAATAGCAACATAAATATATGTACATATAAGTCTTTTTCAAGTTGACACTACCATAAAATGTGTCAAGTAACAACTGGATACAGGTGGCAACTGTTTTAGGCAACTCCAGAAAAACTGTGCTTAGATCAATTCTGGAAAGATAAATCATATTTTGAATAGGAAGGGGCCCTTTTTCGTAAGATTAACATTTATTTAAAAAAATGGATAATTACAAACCGAATTTTCTTCTTCCTCTTCCAGTTCTCGTTGCTGTTCTTCATGTCTTTTGGCCTTTATTTCCATAGCTTCTGTGATCAGGTCTCTTAAAATTGATACTGGTTTGGCATTCTTGATAAAAGGATGCTAGGAAGTAAAATTGTAGAGCATAAATACGACAAATTTGTCTTAATTCCATCTAGCAGATGTTAAAAACAACATGAGAACGTCAATCAGAATCATATGCCTCAACTGTAAACATTTTTTGGTATTTCTTGTAGAAAAATAATTAAAAGTGTAGGTTAACAGAACACATAATCTTTCAGCTGCTCTGGAACTAAAGATTTTGCTTTTGTGTTTGTATATTTTAAAAAAACATCAAAATATAGGAAAACGCAACCATGTAACTTACAATTGCATTATACTTAAGGGTATAATTGTCCAAAGGAAGTGGGCATTAGGTAGTAAATAAAACAGACTAGTGATTGTATGACATATAAAAATAAACCTATTCTAATATTCAGTTACAGTATTTAATTGATCTTAACAAGCTGACAGCACAAATTAGTAGTCAAAAGAAGAGCAACAATTTTTGTTGCCTCTTTCAGCAGATTTGTATTTTAATATGTCTTGAGTAATTTAATCATCTCCAACAGTGAAATGTAAAACAGTCAAAAAAAAAACCCAAGTGTTTCTTACAGCAAACAAACACTGTCCTTATTTCTAAACTATGTAAAACAATTTTATTTCTTTTCAAAGCACACATAAACAGGATATGTGTTGTATGTGTACCTTACCATGCTAAGACCCACTAAACTGGCTGTATAGTAATTAAGGCTTATGTATCTCCTATGCCTCTGAAAAACAGTAAAAGTCCATTAGGGGAGAACATACAGTTCTAGTGGTGGTGTGGGAAAGCAATAGTGCTTTGTGGGTAAGGGGAGGTGAATAATCTAGCTTTGAAATTTTATTTTTATGCTTACATATGAAGAAATATTTGCTATAACACATATCAGCAAAACCCTTTTAAGATACTGCTTAAAGAATTAACTACAATATTAAAATCTTCTCAAAGATGAAAACATTTTCAAAGGGTATAGAAAAGAATATAAATTCTGGAAGAACATATGCAATAGTGCATCGTTATGACAGACAAGGAATGAGAAAAAGCCATTGGTAATGCCTTTTCAGTAATTAATGCAGAGGGGCTACATTTTATACATAGTAGTATCATTAGCCATCAAATTATAAAATCATATATTTTAAGTTGAAAGGCATCTAGCTCACCCCTTAATTACACAGATGAGGAAAATGAAGCCCAGAAACGAAATAATTTGCTGAAAGCCACACAGGTAACATGTTAGAATTGGCACGTCTTCAGACTTGAAATTCAATGCTCTCCCTATTACACTAAAATATAAGCTCCTCAAGGGCATGGACTGTTCCAGTTTTGTCCCTGTATCCCCAGTGCCTAGAACAGTGACTGGCACATAGTAGGTGCTTCATCTTTGAAATGACTGGATGGTATCACACTTCCTTCCAAAAGAATCAACTCATTGGTTGTTAGACAAAGGCTACACATTCTGGGTGCCAACCAGTTAAAATGATATTTGTACAATACACACAATGACAACAACGTAAAGAAAGCTAATATGCAGAGGCAACACAACTCTGGTCAAATACAACAGTTAATGTTAATACTATATTGTCAAAGTTAAAGGACACATCTGTCTGTTAACAATCAATAAACTTCTGGGAATGTATTCTCTAAGTGGTTTTGTTGGGTGTCAGTTGGGTAGCATCTGTTGTGTAAAAACAAACTATATCATTAATAAAATAAAATAAATGCTTGTACGTGAACTAAACACTACATGATTCTAGCAATCTCTCTTGTCCTCTACCAATATCACCATAGGAACAGAAGTAGACATGAGACAATCCATGGCCTACAAAGTACCATAGCCGATTCTACGGGGATGCCCCCCCACACACACACACATACATTTGTATAAAAGTAGAAAATGTTTCTTTTCCTTTAGAAATTTACAAATGAGCTGAATTCATTTCCACATTTACTAAGTGTTTTCTGCTTGCAAGCGGTGATAAATCTCACAAGAGTTAATGGAATCTCCAAAGGGAAGAGAAAAGAGAAGAGGGCTGACAATAGATACTCACACTCAGGGTGGGGAGGAAGCCACTACATGCAGGATTTAAGAGACTAGCAGTGATGTTGGAGAGAACAATTTCAGTAGAACAAAGATAGGATAAGAAGCCAGACTGCAGGAGGCTAAGAAGGGAATAATAGGCAATGAAGAAACAGATGCAACAAGGATACAATATCCTCTCTAATTTGCTCATATTTCATCAGAATGGCTCTCTGAAGATTCAAAGCTCAGTTCAATCATAATGCCAAGCACAAACAGGAGCAGCAGAAGAATTTTACCATCTAGATTGGGCAAAGTATCGTCTGTGACACTAGTGAATACTTGAAGGGCCGAATCAATAGTCTAATATGTGGCACATAGCAGGAACTTAATAAATGCTTGTTGACTGACTTGTTGTTGATCCTTAGTAGACTGCTGAACAGTAATCCCCATATTCATATCGGTTATAAATATCTTATGATTCAACATATGTATTTAGTTCTATTGACTAAAATATTCGTATTCAAACTATAGACACAGAGGAGTCTTACACGCTAGACATCTCTCAGTCAGTTGTATGACAGTGAAGATGTAATCTGTAGTAGGAAATTGTCTGTAAAAGCTTACCTGACCCATTTTCATATTTTTATCATGGATAACCTATATTCACGCATTGCACATTCTCATGAGTATTTTATAAAGGTGAGTAATTGCACATAAATATTGATCTATTTTTAGTTCCCCCATTTTGGCAATAATACCTTCTAATATCTTTTCTATTCTTTTTTAATCTCCCCACCAGCAGGCAGAAGTGGAGGCTCAAAACACTGAAATAAGTAAAGGATACCATATGGCAAAGTGAGGTAGGTAGACACAGCATGCTGCCTACTGACTTTCTTGAGTAGTATAAAAACAAGATAGGCCAGCTATGTAGTGAGAGCAGAGAAGAACAAATGGACACCCTCAATATTTCAGTGACAATGATGAAATGTTAAAAGAATAAGAGCAGTGTTTTATAGATTCTCCATAGAAGATTTAGAGAAATACATGGACAAGATTTACCTAAGTCAAGGGGGTGTGGATAGGCTGAAATCTGCAATGGAATAAGTATACAGTAATGTGATTAGAAATTTAAGTACTGAAGGAAGTAACTTGAAACAACAAACAAAATAGCCTACAAATGTTTCCAAGCATATAAAGACAAAGGTGATATTTTTTAAAAGTTTAAAATAACAAATATTCCTCAAATTATCAAAGAGAATAAATTTAGCAGTAGAATGTTATTTGTATTCTATTAACCCTCCTAGAATATGGTAAATAGTAGTTGAAATAGAGATGATTAGCAGAGAGGTTTACCATGAGTGGGGCCACTGCAAATGCTAGATATGCTTTCAACAAGCTTAATATTTTTTTTACATCATTTAAAGCTGAACCATTATGAGTGGTTCCAATTTCATATGAAAAGCTATTCAAAAGAAAAACCATGCTCTTCTTTCATATGACACAACATATTAGAATTTTACCTGCTTTGTTGAAGCCAAAGTCCATTCTAATTGTAGAGCCACAACAAACATTAATTAAGCAATTACTGCATGTAGAAGAATGTGGTAGGTGAGAGGAATGTGATACAAAGTACAGGTAAGAAACTCTCTGCCTTCTTGGAGCTTATAGTCCAATATGTAGATAAGATACCAACACCAAAGCTTGAGAGCATAATATTACATAAGTATATTTTAGGGAGTTATTTTTTAAAGTACTATATGAAGTCTGAGGATGTTGAATGTTACTGACTTGGAAAAGTCACCAAAGGCTGAGCTGAGCTTTAAAGCATAGACAGAAATTCAGCAGCCAAAGATGGGGAAAGAAGCACTAGGTATATTTTGAGTAAAGGCCCAGAACCATGAGAACCTACTGCATGTTTAAGGCAAGGCAGAGCAAGCTGGTTTGGCAGCAACATACAATAAATGGAGGATGATAATATGAGATAACACTAGAAAGACAAGGAAGTACAAGAATGTGGAGGGTTTGAACTTTACATAGTAGTCAAGAGGTAGCTATTCAGATTTGATATGACCAGATCCATGCATAAAAAAAATTATTCAGGTACCAACATGAAAGATGGACCAGAAATGGGAGTAGGAGCAGGAAGTAAATTATTGCAAGATACAAGGTAGATAATGAAGCAATGAAGCCACTTACCAGGGTGGTGGCAGAAGAAGCAGAAAGGAAGGGACAGCTGATAGAGATATTCCAAGCGACATTAGTAAATGAACAGTCATGAGAGATAACAAATAAGGAAGTCAAAAACGTCAACTTTAAAATTACAAATATGGGGAAACAGATGAATTGGGTTACTGATGACAGAAGAAGTGAAATCAGAAAGATGAGAAGATTTAGAAGGAGAGATGATTAGCTGAGTTTTAGACATGTTGAGAGTTTCAAGTGCCCATGAAACACCAAAGTAGAAATGTCTTTTAAACAGGAGGTAAGATAACTCTAGAGCTCAGAGAAGAGGTTAGAACTGTGGATAAAGTTTTTAGTCATTTGTATAGAGGTGATGAGCCAAGAGTCTAAATTCAAAAGAGAGAAAGTAGAGAAAAAAAGAGAACCCACACCAAACCATTGGGGAACATCTACCCCCAAGGAGTCAGAAAGGACAGTGAGCCAGCAAAAGAGAGTAAAGGGCAGTTAGAGAAAGAAGAAACTCAATAGAGTGTAGAGTGTTTGACATCAAAAGAGGAAAGTGTACTCACTGAAAAGGAAATGAGATTGTCTCACTGTATACTGTATAGATCAGACCCCATCTGGAGTACTGGGTTTATTTCTGAGCACTACATTTTAAGAAGGTCATAGATAAAACAGAAAATATCCAGAAAAGAGCAACCAGGATGGTGAAGGGTCATAAAACTATGCCACATAAAAATCAGTTGAAGGAAATAGGGATATTTAGCAAATAAAAGGGTAAGACTTAGGGAGGGCATAGTTATCTTCAAGTATATGAAG